AGATAGATAGATAGATAGATAGATAGATAGATAGATAGATAGATAGATAGATAGATGATTAATGGCTGTCTCCTCTGCCTTGAATAATGCTTTATACCTTGTGTCAATTGTCTCTACGACACTATTCTCATATGTCAAGATTCTATTTCTGAGAAGTAGAATAAATATATCAATATAAAGAGTTCCATTTTAGATGCGTTGATCTAGAATGGAGACTAATCATTGAAGGCAATAGAAGAAGAAAGAACAGTTTGATGGGTAATATGCTGTGACCCATAGCAACAAGTCATAAATCATGAAGATAAACTGGTATTGGTTGCTAAGGATTTCTGCCCTCTCCCCATCAGGCTGGTCCACAGAGCAGAGATAGGAAGCTTGCTCTTTATCAGTTCCCTCTGGATCCTATAATAATTATAATAATATAATCATATAAGAATTCAGTGTTGTCCTTCTATGCTCCCAGCATGATCCTGGTTAATGTTCACCACCTTCAGGATATCAGGAATTACACATTGTCAGTGACACGTTATAAAAAATTGGCCACTTTCAGCGCTGGACAAACTCTTTTCCATCAAGTAAAAAAAAAAAAATTACTGTACATGCAGCTGTCATAAAGTTCAGAGAAAGTTCACATAGTTTTCCTATGTGTATGTCTCTCTGCGATTATGTAATACATGTTGAGTGTGTGAATATTGCTATATGCACATACACATCTCCCCCTGGCTCCTCGTACATTATTCACTTTACTTGTATGTTGTAAATACTGTAACCCCATTATTTTGTGTTTTATAAATATAGTAAATTATTATAATACACTATATAAAGCAATGTGATAACTTATATACAAATGTAAATTAAAGCCTCCTGGGCCATTGCAGCAATTAATTAACCCATTCAGTGCTGCAGAGTGTGGTCAGCCATGAGAAGAGTTCTAGAAGCTGAGCTGGGGAATTAGAAAGAACAGACTTCCGTAGCTATACTGTACATGTGAGGACATGAAGCTGCTCCTCGCACATACTCCTTAAGATCTTTTTTTTAGCGAATTCCCAGGCAGTGAAGTGGTTTGAGGACCAGCCAACCACTGCATCCCATGGGGCTTTGGACAGGAACGGGTTAAATTAATGACATAAAAGGGATATTACACTAGATTACAGACTACGATGCAGGTTTATCTGATGGAGTGAAGTGCAGACCTTGAGGTGCCTGTGCTCTAAGTATTAACAAAAGATATATAGTATATGTCACCATTCCTAGGGTACCCGGTCAGTGTGGGGCATGAGATATTCTGTGCTCAGATGGAGTTGCAATTAATTCACACAATTAAATGACATTTTCATAATTACCAACGTCATTACCAGTGCCCGTTAACCCCCTCCCTGTACAGGTGGTGTGTATTATCAAGGGAACTATCTCATCTACATAAGTGTGTTACATTATAGGTGTCATTGGATTTCTATGTGTGTTATTTCCCAAGCAATACTGGATTTTCGTGTTTGTGTGTTATATAATGGGTGCTGTTGGATTTTTATGTGTGTTTTATCTCATGGGCGCTATTCAATTTTTAGGTGTATTTTACATATTGTGGGTGCTATTGGATTTTTGTGTGTGCTTTGTCTCATGGGTGCTATTAGATTTGTATGTCTGTTTTATATATTGTGGGTGCTATTGGATTTTAGTGTGTGTTTTGTATGCTTGGTTCTGTTGGATTTTAATGTATGCTTTAATGCATGGGTTTTATTGGATTTTATTATGTTTGTCGGCATATTACTTTACAGTGTTCACAGTGATTTCACAATGACTAATCTCACATGCTTTCAGAAAGTTTTTGATGCTGCAAGTTGTGTATTATGTTTTAGCATCATTATGGCTACACAACATGGCTCATCGCTAGCCCCGCAATCCGTATAACAATCACTTTGTTAATAATTATATTATATTTTTTCTCATCATCATCATCATTTTGTCCTGCTCTACAAGTATAAATGTACGATAAGGATTAGTAGCCATTTGTTATTACACATTTTAGTTTTCCTATTAAAATAATGACCGATGTAAGTGCACTCGGGTCTATATAACTATAGACAAAAAAATCTATCTTAAAAATAAAATTAATAATATCAACAGCACATGCATTATTATTATTGTTAGATGGGTTGATAGGAAGAAATAGTTGTATTAAAGTCCCCGCGAATACGAGCTGAATATTAATGGTAGCCTTTGCTAAGTTCGCAACCCTCTGGGAAATCATTATAAGACAGATTGTAATTGAACTATATGGCGGTGAATGTATTTGTGTGTATTCGTCTGATATAATGGCTCCGGTGTGGACAGTCATATTAATAAGGCTCGGGTGTCAGTAATTAGCTGGGGTCACATACGTTTATATGGATATTGACTGTCACCCAGGCGCTGTAATAACGTTAGAGCCGTTCAGTGGTGTCCTATCTCCATGCAATCCCCTATGGAGGAATCCCTGGGCTTTATCTGATAGAAGATCAGGATGGAGATATCACACACATAGGACTCCCCTCTGCTGCCATCTGCCATATACTGAGGACAGCAATCATCTCTCCCCACAGACATTACAGTGTCTACCAATAGGGAGTCACACTACCTTACTATGATCTCTATACCCCTGAATTGTAATCATGAGATTTATGTGGAGAGGGACTATACTGCTTGGCGATATCCTTCAGTGAGAACTGGTAATGTATGCAGAGATGTAGGTACCCTAAATAACTTCCCTCTCTTTCTATCTAGCCATGCACATTCATTTATCTCTGTCTAGCATTTGGCTTGTACAATTAAAACACACACACAAACAAGAATGTGATTTGTATTCTCATCTCTTATATGCATACAATTTTTCTAAAGTACTGTGTCTCACTAGGCTGGTTAGATAAGTGAATTTACTTAAAAACACCCCATTCAGGTTGAAGTGAATTTAGAAAACAAACATCTCTCCATTACCTAGTCAGATCTGAAAAATTGAATTTAACATAGGTTTTCTGTTCTAATAAACGTTTAGTAAATTACACACACACACACACACACACACACACACACACAAACACACACACACACACACAATTGTTTTCAGTCAGTGCAGGAGGATTCCTGGCTAATGTTTGTAGAAGGAGGCAGGCAGTGCTGGTGCATACTCCAGGCGTCTGGGTATTGGTAAGGTAAGCAGAGAAGATGTCAATCTCCCCTGCACCCTACCTGTTCCTCAATGATTGCCTTGTAGGTACATTTAGGTGAGCACAACTCTGGCATAAAATCGATGTCAGCTGGGATAAGCCATGTCATGTCTGCAGGGAGAAAAGCCATGTTCAAGCTCATTTATAATATAGAGAGGCATAATTCTTTATTGGGGATAATTGCTGATATTCCTGCCTGTGCTGTGGCTACTGCACACACTCTATGGTTCATTTTTATACATGCTGGAACTGCATTGTACACATAGTACCTGTACTCCTACAAATACTATATCAGTATTTATACACTGTAGCTGTATTACTATGTACATTACATTTGTGCAACACACAAAGCTATGCGGTACACATTGATACTGTGGCTGTAGCTCTGAATTCTAAAATATATAGTACTTGTACTGAACATTGTATAGCTCTATTCCTGTACACACTGTACTTTTATTGAACATTATGTTTTACCATATACACTGTACTTTAATTGAACACACTATGTCCCCATATACACATTGAACCTGTACCAGACATACTATACTTGTATTCCTACACACACTGAACACACTGTATTCCGATACACACTGTAGCTGTACTGAACACAATGTAATCATATTAATATATATACACTATATCTCTACTGAAAACAATATGTGTTTAATTTAATTAAGGATTTGAGAATGCGCACTTCAATTATTTAAACATGTGCAGATAAATACTCACAAACATTTTGGTGAATCATCCTCTATAACAGTGTTACAATGCACACTGTAGTTGTATTAAAATTCATACTGTATCTCTACTAAACTCACTGTGGCAATATACCTACAGATATAGTGATACTCGCTGTGGAGACATTCTTGTACACACAGCAAATGAGCTGCACACATTGGGATGGATTTATTAAACATGTAGAGACTGTTCACTTTGTAAAATTAATATTAATTTTTCTAAGTGACTACTACTTAGTTTTAAAAGTGTGTTCACTGAGCTTAGTAAATAAGGTGAGGCTTTGCTCACTTTAATACCCAATCATTAGCAAGGGAATTAAAAAATTATGAGTGAGTAATGTGAATACAGCCTCACCTTATTTACTAAGCTCACTGCATATTCACTTTGCTGAGTGAATAGTCTCTGCTACTTTAGTAAATAAAACTAATTACATGTAAATTTCAATACACACAGCACCCATATTGTACATACTATATCAGTACTACCACAAATGTTAAACTTGCAGTCCTATGCACGATGTGGCTATGTTCCTGCACATGCTTTGGTTGTATTTTAGAACATGCTGCACTGTATATAGCATAGGTGTTTCTCTATATACAATACAGCTGGTTTGTAAAGACTGTCACTGTAATCTTATGTAGTTTGTTGCACTGAATACGTTGAAGAGACAATCCTATATATATATATATATATATTAGTGCTATATACACAATACAGTATTGGTTCCAAGCTGTACACAAGGAGGCTTTGTTTCCAGAGAACAGCTTTAAATGAGCTGTAATGAATTGTGCACAGTGTAGCAGTTTATACCCTTCCTTGTATTACTTTTCACTCTGTACTGTGTGAACTGAGGGCCAATCCTTTTACACTGCATAGACTCTTTGTAGCTGTACACAGTGTAGTTGATATGGAAGCTACATTCATACATCCATTCATATACACCCTGCGACTGTAATACCTATATTAATTGTGCAGCTTTTTTACTTATAATTACTGTCTGTTGCCAACTGTAATCTTACTGCACTATAGGTGTACCATTCAGGCTGTAGTTGTATTCTTATGTACACTGGTGTACTATCCAGGCTGGAGTTGTGTTCTAACTTCTTACAGACACTTCACAAGTGCATTACAGATGGTAGTTGTATTATTATGTGCACTGTACAGGCTGTAGATAGATTTGTATGCATGCTCTAGATGTATGTTGTAGATTGTAGTTGTAGTCCTATGTGCACCGTAGATGTACTGTTTAGGCTTTAGTTGTATTTATATGTACACTGTAGATGTACTGTTCAGACTAAAGTTGTATTCTTATGTGCACTGTTGTTGTACTATACAGGCTGTAGATCTATTCTTATGTATGGTCTAGGTGTATGTTGTGGGCTGCAGTTGTATTCCTATGTACACTGTAGATACACCGTGCACACTTTAGTTGTAGTCTTATGTACACTGTAAATCTACTGTACTGGTTGTAGTATTCTTGTGTACATTGTAGATGTATGTATTGTGCAAGCTGTAGCTCTATAGCTTATATCTATACATAATGTAGTTTTGCAAATATATACAATTAAATGTATGTTTTTTTTTTAAAACAAATCATTGTTTTGGTAATATGGCAAATAATGTTACAATGTCACAGAAGAAAACAAAATACAAATGTTAAAATTATAT